GCATTGTTCTCTTTTTATCCCCTGAATAATTTGTAAAATTCACATTTATCATTTACATATAAAAAGATAATTCCTAGAGTGACTAGGGTTAACATTTATAGTAAAACATAACAGAATGGAACTTAGAGGATGTATTGTGAAGAAAAAAAACTCGCTTGACTAGCCTTAAAATTTTTTTCACTTATAAAGAAAAAAATTAACTCTTGAAAATATTATATTCAACTACAGAAGGCTAATTCTTTCCATAAGTAATACTTCCATAAGGCAAATTTTTAACATCAGTAATAAATTCTGATTTTCACAGGCTCCAATTCTCATATTATTTGGTTGTTCAAAGAATTCCTATAGCTATTTAACTTTATATAGTTGATCTTTCTATTTAAGCAGAGCGATTATACCATCTACTGCAATATGGAATGATTTAGCTGCAAATTTCTTTCTGTTCTTTTTTTTTTTTCTTTATTTAGCCTTCTAACAGTTTCTGCTGTTAAAGTTATTCTTTTACCTAAATATTTTTGCATTCTATTACAGTATTTCCCCATCTGGCCTCTCTTAGCTAGAAGTTATTTTATCAACTTTGAGGAATATTTATCTTTATTTATGCTGCACACATGCCCACTGTGATGGTTGTGTTGTAACGCATGATTTATTTTGGGCAAACAGGATCATAGTAGTGTTTACATTATGGAGAAATTGGGAGATTTCATTTCTCAGCATGATACACATTTTTTCTTTCAATATGCTTTGCTATTGGGGCCCCTTGACTCTTTATAATTAAAATAATTATTTATCTTTTCCCCCAAAGCTCTACCACCTCAGGTAACTCCCTTATGCTGATCGATGTGCAACCATTGTCAGTGACAGTTGCATTGTTAACCTGTTCTTACTGTGGGTCATGTACGTGCATTTATACAGCATAATTAATGATGCCATAAATAGTGAAGTAAGATAGATATGTCATTTTGAGTCATTTGCCCACATGGAATTTGTGAGGAGAGTTAGCATTCTTCCTGCTTCTACAGCCGCTCCTCTTAATCCTCTTGGTAGTTGCTGCTCACCCCTTAAATCCAAGTCTTCGCAAGGGTTCTTTCCTGTATCTGCTCTCTCATGGCCTGCTGAGGTGACTGTGCAGCCCTACGACACACGGCTCTTACCTTTCTGCTGATGATTTGAAATGTATGTCCAACTGCTGCCCCTTGGCTGTCCACAGACATCTCAAATTCAGCAAGTCCCTAACTGAATTGAACATTTGTCACCACCTACCTGCCCCAGAACACCCATTCTTCTTCTAGTGTCCTTTTGCCATCCCTCCATTGTTCAAGCTACAGCCCCAGGACCATTCTCTGTTCCTCGTATTCCCTTAAGGTCTTAGCCAAGTTACAAGTCCTGTGACTTCTACTCCCTTAATATCAACCAGAACTACCGATGTGTCCCTTTCTAGTTCCAAGACACAGTCCCACAACTAGACTATTGTAACCTCTTCCTAAAAGTCCCTCTGTCTTTGCTTTTATTCTTGCTGTGCCAACCTCCAGCCCCTCATTCACCCTGCCTAGGAGGTCTTCCATGGCTCCTCAAACCTCATGTTGGCTATGTGTTTTATTTTCTTGGGAGTCCTTCTACTTCACCCTCATAACACTTGCCACTCCATGTGACGGCCACCTACTTATTTCCCCTGTGTCCCCACTAGACATTAAGCCTGTGACTGGGGGTCTTGCTCACCATCCAATCCTAAATGCTGCACAGAAGACACTTCATAGTTTTTTAACATTGTGGAATGTTAGTCAATTTTCAAACTTTTAAATATTCCAACTATAAAACAAGCAGAAAGAAATTATAACACATGAATTGCATAATGACAAAGTCTGGAATCAAAAAACCTTTATAGGATTTCTGGCTCTATCATTGCTTTATAGGACACTTTTGACAAAACATAAAATTTTCTCACTATAATGTAATCATATAACACTCATCATTACTGAGTACACAATAAAAATGACAATAACATCTTGAATTTATGACCTCTTAGTAGCTAGAAGCATTTCTTATGAATTATTTATTTGTTCAATATCCCTTTGGGGTAGGCTTGCATCTTTTCGACTAGAAGGTAATAAAGGGAGATACAGCCCTGCCTGTGATGATGTCAGCACAGTCCTGAGATGTCTCCCTCCTTCACAGCGTGTCATGAAGATTCATGACGTCGTCTGAGGCCTTATGCTCTCAGGAGAAAAAATGGGTTGTATAAAGTAGTTTCATACTCTTACACATCCAATTTCTTAAAAATTCAAAATATTTTGGGGTAAAAATATGTACACATTGTTTCAGTAGTTCAGCTTATTCCTGGACTCTTTTTCCATGTTTTTCTGGAGACACTTTTTCTACACCCACTCGAACCATCTGTGTCCCAGGCAAGTTTTCTGAGATGTAAAGAGAAATATGTTTGTGTCATTTATTTAGAAAGGACTATGACTAATGACACGGTGGGGAAAATGGCATCATTAATGAAAAAGTGCATTCTCTGTATGAGCAGCCAGGGAAGCTGGCAGTTATGGCCACACAAGGCCACGTCCTACACACAAGCACCCGCATCGGCTCTTGCCAAACTAACCCCCAAAGGTCTACAGGAAATGGCGCGTCAGCATCGCCAGGGGCTGGAGGTAGCCCCTGTGAAGTGGCGGTTCTTCACCATCACCAAATGGTGAATTTTAAAAAAATGTATGCAGTTTTGCCTTCTACATAATATATGAATGTTCACTTTACATGAACATGTGAAAAATTCTTTGCCATTGATGACAGTAGACATTTCGGGAAGATGTACCATATTTACTGTATTCTTGCCTTTAAACGCGCTGGGCGTTGGCGTGCACACTGAGGGTCACTGTATCCTGGTTTGAAAAGTGCAGGTCCCAGGACATTGCAGCCCAGGCCATGGGATTGTTGTTAGAATGTAGGAGAATCCTTCCACGTGTCCCCTTTCCACTTTTCTACACGTAGACTCCTGAAATCTTTTTGCTTGCCTCACTAATGAGATCTTTAAAATGTGGCCCTATGCACCGAATTGGTATCATTTTCATAGTTAAGTTGATTGATAAATGTAAGATCAGCTTCCTCAAATAGAGATTTTCCGTCTGAAAGAAAGGATTGGTCTGAGGTGAGAATTACCTACGTGATTCCCTCTTTAGATCTCATTAAAATTGGAACCCAAACAAAGAACTTATAAAACAGAAGGCTTTTTCTGGTGAGTGTTTTGAAAATATGATCAAACACAGAAAGCTGGTCATACTCAGATATGAGTAAGAGAAGTAACTTATTTATACATTCACATTTCAAAACATTTGTAAGAGCTATCGTGTATGCTGTTAAAAAGCTTTTAATTTAAAATTATTTTGTTAGATAATCCTGTTGCAAGTGACATTATGATTTATTGCCACTAATCAAGATTTTGATCCCTCATAGACGTCTTGTTTGTATCTGTTTTTGTTCTTTGTTACATAAATATGGGGTTTATATATAAAATTCTGACTGTGTAATATAGGGCTAATGAGTCACAGATGGAAAGATGCTGGCACATTACCATCTAATAACATTTTAAACTCATATTCCATAGTAAAACAAAAGCAAATTGTACACATCTGTTTTCCAACTTGTAGCATTTCTGAATTTGCACGGAATCTATATTTAAAGGAATTTTATTTAGGGAAAAGAAAAAGAGGACACAGGTCACCTCGAAGCTCTCCAGCCATTAATAACCTTATCAGAAAGGATTTGGCAAAAGGGATAAGATTTCCTCCACTTTGCTTCCTGAGAAGTCCCAGCTCCAAAGAATAAAAATCGAAGGCATTAGGATTGAAGAAATGTCTTTAGACTACAAACCTTATTTTATTGCCACTCTTAAAAATGCCGATACATCCCTGACATGGAGAAAATAGGGAGAAAAATATCCACAAAACTAACAAAATTAAAAACCTAGAAACTTACTGGCCTTTCCTAAAACTGTTCTCAAAATAGATTTGGGCAGGAAGAGGGGACTGGCAGGAAGGGAGCCCGCAGAAACTTGAGGTGTGTACTGTGCTGGTGCTTGTCTATATTATTTGTATGATAAACATGTTTTATGTTTAAAAACAAAACAAAACAGGAAAAAAGGTGGAAATAGAACAAAGTCATAATGTCTGTCTCAGACTTACCCAATCAATAACACCCATGAGAAGGAGTTAGTACAAGTTACTGAAGTAAAACCTCTCTCCCCTATTCTCCTTGGTTAAGGAATTCAAAACCACTTTTCTGCTTTAAGGGGTTGTGTGAACTGTCAAGTTCTTTTGGAAACGTTACGTGACAGAAGTGATTACTGCAGAGTGTGACCATAAATCCCCCTGACACGGAATAGGCAGGTTATAAGAGACAGATTTCCCTCCGCCACCTCTGCATACATTCCTGAAACAGGAGAGACCTGAAATTCGTCTCATGATTGAAGAGAGAAATTGTGATGTGTGGGTGGTAAGACTATATTCGTGAGGCACACTGTGTTTATTCTGAGGAATATTCTGATCTGACAGCAAAATTCTATTCACTTTTGGTGTCCAAAAAAGACTTAATATATGTATTGTACATCCTGAGTCGCAGAGTAAATAGAGTGTCAATAGAGGAAAAGTACAGTGTTGTTTTCCTCACAGTGTCTGGAGTCATCTCCACTTCGTACTAACATTTCGTAAGAGAGATTCTCAAAATGTTCAGTGTAGCAAGCTCCTGACACCAGTGTACACACAGACCCCAGGTACCCGCCACCGGGGGCAGCGACACTGAGCGCTCGGTCGTGCCCGCCATGCTCTGAGGAGTGGTTGGTTCCCGTGGGGCCTCGCGTGTCTCATTCTGTTTCTGGTGTGTCAGACAAGGCCAGGGTTGAGCCGCCAAAGGGAGGCCTTAGGTACGTGCTTGTTTTGTCTGTCCCCGTGACGTGTCCGTGTGACGTTCTGTGTCGTGTTGTTTTGGTGCCGTGCCGTCCGTAGGGCCTGCCGGGCTTCCCCACAGTCGCCGCCCTGCACAGCAATCAGATCCTCACCGTCAAGGTTTGTGGTCGCCCCCCGCGCGGTCAGAGCGCGGCCAGCATCAGGTGGCGACGACGCTCCGCCCGCCCGCCGCCGCGTCCTCCCCTCCCGTCGTGCGGCCCTCCCTGCATCGGTGAGGGTCATTACCCTCAGATGTCCATTAAGAGGGTTCTGAGCATGCTCGGGAGGAGAGACTGCGGCGAGCAGGTGCAGAGGAGAGAGGCAGGCGTAACATCCAGGACCCGGCCGCACCGCGCGGGTTTGTGCGCATGCGTCTAATGCTCCGTGAGATTTCTCCGGTCAATTAAATTGTCCCAAGTACTCTCTCTGGGCCCCGGGCAGCAGTAGGAGGGCAGTCGAGCTCATGCCACCTTATGCTGGTTGACAAGCCTGACGGAAATGGAACTGGCGCTTCGTCTCCAGACTCTCTGCTCAGCGTGCAGGAGGCAGGGTCGCCCAGCCTCTCTGAGTCTCGGTGGACCGCATTAACGAGACCCAACACCCGCAGCAAAATGAGGGGTCCCAAAAGGATCACTTTTAACTAAAAATCTGGCCTCACCATCCCATTTCGGCGTCCTGTTTCTTTCAAGAAGAGCTGGAGGGTCTAAGGTCAGACGCAAGTGCCAGTTCTGTTTTGTTTAATAGTCACTGTAAGTCTAATGCATATATCTTTATTTCTTTCTTGGGGCCTTCTGATGTCTATTCTCCAACTCTCTCATCTCTGAACTTCAACCTTTGACCTCACCTGACTGATCAGATGGTGTTTCCTAAAATCAATCATGGGTTTCTCTCTGCTGATCAGCAGCTCATTAAACGCCGCCTGATTAAGGTAGTGCTTATTCTTGCTAAAGTCTGATTTCTTCTTTGCATCCAGATATTGCTTTGTGTGCTATTGCTTTGCCATTTATCTCTCATGGGTGGGGCATGGGTGGAGGGTGGGTATTTATTTGGAAATATCCTAGAACAAAATAATGTTTAGTGAGCTGCATTGGTTTGAAATGTATATGAAATTGCCAAAAGAAAAAGGTATAGAAAGCCTATCTAATCTTTTCCTAATTAAAATAAAAAAACTTAATTTGCTTAGTTTCTGAGCTCCTGAGCTTTGATAATTTATAAATTATTATGCAATATGACAGGAGCCTCCTATGCTTAATTTTGTAGGGTATGAAAAAGTAAACACGTTCCTCTAACTATAAACACATCCATTTTATTAATATTAAATAAGGTGAATATAACTGATGCAGCGTTGTCATGGATAAAGTTATGCAAAAGTTTTATGCCAGCTCCGAGCACAGTGATAACACATACACTAGTTCCAAAAGCTGCGAGTGCTGGTTCCTGGTTCCTGAGCTGCTTTGATTTTAACAGCATCTAATCAGCTCACCCGACATGAATATTTATTTGCTCCCTGTTGGCAGGCAAATTGCCTACAGGCTTCATGGTTCTGGTTGTTCTGGTTCTTTTAAGAGTGTAAATGTGGATTAATATTACAAATTTAAAATGTTGAAAAGAAGACCTTGGTTTTTATCTTTCATGGTTATTTTTGGTCTTTTCCCATCTCCATTGCAGGGTGACCAAGGCCAGGCAGGGCCTCCAGGCCCCCCAGGCCCTCCAGGCCCTAGAGGGCCACCTGGGGACACAGGGAAGGACGGCCCCCGGGGAACGCCAGGAGTGCCCGTGAGTTGCTTTTCGGATCAGTTGTTCTCGCAGGTTTTGTGTCATGTCAAGGGCTGGGAACTAGGAGGGAGTATGGTGATGAGGGGCTGTAGGCTCAGAGGGTCAAGTGAGTGGAGTGGGGTGAGGGACATGGGGAGGTAGGAAAGTCTCCCAGCAGAGCAGAGCACTCCTGGCAGCATCCGATCTTACCACTTCCTCCACTGGGAACCCATGCAAACCACAAAGAGAAACTGGAGACAGCAACTAAACTGGTTTTCAGGTAAGTCTCAAGAAGTTTGTGATTGGAGATGCTTGATCTCGCGTGTGTCCTGACGACCGAGTGCATCAAGGCCTTTGGTTTAAATAAGAGATTAGTTTGAAAAAGTAAGTGGGAGATTGCTAACATTTTCCAAAGGGTCAATAGCATAAAGTCCCATACTACTAAACAACTTGACCCCCCAAAATTGCTAATAACAGTAAAATTAACAGTTAAGACATTGGTAGGTATTACTTAAAAATACCATTTTTCTTTTGTATGTAAGGCTTACTAATAGAAAGGATTTAAAAGTAATCTCAATACTCAGTTACTATGATTGATCAAGTGTCTATGACATAGCAATACACGGCACTAGATAAATGGTTTGGTTTGGTAGGGGCAACTCAGCAATTTAAAGAAATATATGGAAAAGTTCAATTTTGGACGTATGACTTTAGGGCTAGAAATTAAGGCTTATTACTGGATTATTTAATGTATTTCTTTAACTAAAATTATTTTCATTAGTATTTTCATAGTATAAAAGTAATAATGAAAATATTTATTGACAAAGAAAATTTTGAAAATAAAGAAAACCAAAAAGAAAAAACATTTGCCATAATTATTAATGTTTTGGTATATTTTCCTTCCATTTTCATGTGCATATATTTGTGAACTTTTTTTCAAAGAATGATTCTCTTTGTAAGACTATAGGATACTTTAAAACTTGTCTGAGACAGCCTTGTTAAGCCCCATTTCCCTTTATGGATGCTGCTCTGAGTTTGCTGATATAAAATGAGAAATTGAGTGTTAACAAATGATTTGCTGGTTGTTAGGACTGTTTTCACTGAAACTTCAAAGGCAGTGGTTTCATTCTAAAACTGTCTTTGGTCTCTCCTTTTCTAAGGACAATACCCCAAAAGATAGAGAGATCTGCAGCTTTAGGAATATTTAAAGCTCCCTGTTGCTGGTTGCCAACAGAGAGAGACAATGACTATCTCTTCAAATAAAGTAGTTAAAACCATTTTGGTGACACAAAATTAGATCATTGAGCATTGTATACTATGACAGAAATTAAATTCAAGGTAGAAATTACTTTTAAGAAACAAAGGTAAAATATGAAAAACTAAACCATCCAAAATTATGTCATTTTTTAAATGAATATGGTTTATTCCTGTAAGAAAGAAATTGAACTTTTTACACAAAGGAAAAATTAACTTATTTTTTTAAATCCCACAAATATAATTTGAACTGGATATGGTCTCTCATATGTATTGTGATAACCACTATAAAAAGGGGTTTTTTGTTTGTTTTTTGTGACAGAGTCTCGTTACCTTGCCCAGGCTGGAGTGACTGATTGTTCATGTGTGCCACCATGGTGCGCTCCAGCCTCGGGCTCCTGGGCTCAAGCAACCCTCCTGCCTCAGCCTCCTGAGTAGCTGGGATGATAGATGTAAACCACCACACTCAGCTAAAAAAATATTTTATAAAAATAAAGTGGGAAATATTTATTTTGAAAGCCCAGCAATATCTATATATTGGCCTTAAAAGCACAGTTTTCCAGAAAAATATATTTAGCCAATGACTGTCATTGTAATATGACAATAAAACATTAGGCCAGGCATGCTGGCTCACACCTGTAATCCTAGCACTCTGGGAGGCCGAGGCAGGAGGATCACTTGAGGTCAGCAATTCAAGACCAGCCTGAGCAAGAGCAAGAGCAAGACCCCATATTTACAAAAATAACATAAAAATTAGCCAGGCATGGTGGCACATGCCTGTAGTCCCAGCTACTGGGAAGTCTGAGACAGAAGAATCACTTGGGCCCAGGCGTTTGAGGTTGCTGTAAGCGAGGCTGACGGGACTGCACTCTAGCCTGGGCAACAGAGCAAGACCCTGTCTCAAAAAAAAGAGAGAAGCAATTAATCTGAGTATTAGAAAATGATGATACTAGTATGATATGGCAGAATTTTCTCTGTCAATTTTAATGAAACATGTTGCTCCAACCGTCATTAATCCAGGAAGGTCAAAATTAAAAATCAGGCCAATCCTAGCTCTCTGGGAGGCCGAGGCAGGCGGATTGCTTGAGGTCAGGAGTTTGAAACCAGCCTGAGCAAGAGGGAGACCCCGTCTCTACTATAAATAGAAATTAATTGGCCAACTAATATATATATATTAAAAAATTAGCCGGGCATAGTGGCGCATGCCTGTAGTCCCAGCTACTTGGGAGGCCGAGGCAGAAGGATTGCTTGGGCCAGGAGATTGAGGTTGCTGTGAGCTAGGCTGACGCCACGGCACTCACTCTAGGCAACAAAGCGAGACTCTGTCTCAAAAAAAAAAAAAAAAAAAAAAAGTAAAAATCAATCTCTGCTCATTTTATTAAATTCCTGCCCTAAGCACTTGTCTCTCTGTCCTATGTATGAAAGTTCTAAGTTCGCGTAAAGAAGATACCACATCATCATTTTTATGTCACCATAAAGTGGACGTGATAATCCAGACTAAATTTTTAAAATCCTGAAATGTTTATAGAATTCATTTGAAGAAAGAATATCAACTCTCTTTTAATTGTGCTATGTTTATTTTTCCCTATTTAACCTGAAAAATATACTTGACATTCACATGTCCAGTGGGCATTAGGAAAAAGAAAAAAAAAGATGACTGAAGTTTTTTATGTTTATGGGATTATTAAAATGATCACTGTTCTTTTTTAAGGGTGAGCCAGGAAAACCTGGAGAACAAGGCTTGACGGCAAGTATCTCAGTTTATCTTTTTCCATACTAAAAATAATGGGAGGCCAGGTTATTAAAACTGGTCAAGATTATGTGTGACAAATGTTATATGCCATATGACAGACTATTAACAAAAAAGTTAAAATCAGTAGAAGTTATAAGGTAAGATATTAGCCAGGCATGGTGGTGTGCACCTATAGTCCCAGCTACTAGGGAGGCTGAGGCAGGAGGATTGCTTGATCCCAAGAGTTCAAGGCTGCAGTGAGCTGTGATCATGCCACTGCCCTCTAGCTCAGTTGACAGAGGGAGACCCTGTCTCTAAAATCATAAATTAAAAAAATAAGATCGCCTATTGACCACCACTATATGCTAAATGTCACAAAACTACAGAATTGATGTGGGAGAAAAAGAAAGAGAGATTCCAGGTAGGGGACTGACAGACGCTGAAAAGGGTCAAAGGAGAGCATTTATTTTAAGCAACTCTGTTATAAGAGAGATTAAATTTAGGGGCATGCCTATTAGTTTAAATAGAAATGCATTTTCAAATTTTCAAAGGGATCGGGTGTGACTATGAATTAGCATAGCAAACCTTGGGTAGCATTTCAAGGAGTTTGTTGTTGTTGTTGTTGTCAAAGGGCTCCACCCAGAGAGAAAAAATTGTGCCTTTTGGATCTGTCATTACAAACAGGTCATGCACTGATTCCATGTGGACCTGCTCACAGACACACAGGCCCAGTTCCCTGTGATTTGTTTGTCCTTTGCCAACAGAAAAGATGTTTGTTCAGCTTGGTGGGCCCTGGAGAGTGGAATTCCTTCAGCCTGCCTCTCCTTGAGCTGCCTTTCTAACCTACCTTATGACGCACACACTCTTGGGAAACACAGGGTCGTTCTCTAATAACCCAAATGCCAGAGGACAGCTCACGCCCACCCTGGAGGCAGAACGGGTGGGCTCAGAGACTGCAGGGAGCCAGCAGGTGATCGCAATAAGCTTGATAATGTGCATTCTAGAATACATACTGTTTGGCATTCAGCATGCAGGTGTTCTGGGTATAAAATTTATTTTAAAAATACAGTTAACTAGATCCTAGTGAAAGTAACCCACTGGAGCAGACAGTTGGTCAGGAACAAACTTGTGAATGAGTTAAAAATCAAAGGCTTCTTCCTGCGTGGGACGCCTTCAGCAGCTCTCCTGGGAGAAACCCCCCAACTTAGCTGTAAGTGGAGCTGCCTGGGAGCAGTCTCTGGGGAAATGAAGGCACCCTAACGCCCAATCTGACCACCCTGAGACCCCCTGAGACTCAGTCTGACCCATCATCTGGAAATTCTCTGTTCCTGAGCTATAATAACAAGGTAGATATTTGATACAGATAACTTTTGGTAGTATACTGGGTGACAGTATTTAACTTTTGGTAGTATACTGGGTGACAGTGTTTTTTTAAGAAAACAATAAGGTGAAAGAAAAATTTTAAAAGACCTATATAAAAATTAAACAGGCCGGGCGCAGTGGCTCACGCCTGTAATCCTAGCACTCTGGGAGGCCGAGGCGGGCGGATCGCTCAAGGTCAGGAGTTCAAAACCAGCCTGAGCAAGAGTGAGACCTCATCTCTACCATAAATAGAAAGAAATTAATTGGCCAACTAACATATATAGAAAAAATCAGCCAGGCATGGTGGCGCGTGCCTGTAGTCCCAGCTACTCGGGAGGCTGAGGCAGCAGGATCACTTGAGCCCAGGAGTTTGAGATTGCTGTGAGCTAGGCTGACGCCACGGCACTCACTCTAGCCTGGGCAACAAAGTGAGACTCTGTCTCAAAAAAATAAAATAAAATAAAAATTAAAATTAAACAAAGCATTTTTCTTCGGTGGTAACTTTGCAGCGAAGTTCAGCATTAGCTAAATGGTATGGAGTCACAGAGTACAAAGGATTCTTGGAAAACTATAATATAAATTTCAAAATTGCTTTAGGCAATTGAATGTACATATAATTTGTATTCTGGAAAATAGTCAAAACATACTCATTCCTTCTGAGCATTCTTATATGGAAAGGTACTTGGAATGCCCAGGAGCCCTTGTTTGTGCTCAGGTATGCACAGACTACTCAAGTTTTTATCAGTGGCATTGCTTTCTTGCCTGATGCCCAAGTCAGCATCCTAATATACAATATTCTAAAATAAAAATGGATTTTTTAAATTATATGTTTATCTTCTCTGCATTTATATATACTCTCTGGTATATACAGTGTGAATAACAACATAATCCCCTTTCCCTACAATTCCTAGTTTGACATCATTAAATAAAAATGTTTGACCTAGTCTTATATGAACTGTGTTATTATCTTAGGATGTCCAATTTCCCATTTCATCTAGAAATTTTCTCAGATAAAGATAACACTGGATATTTTTTTCTATAAACCTTTTCTATTCTCTTTAAATTCTTCAGATTTAGTTCATGTTCTTATTTTTAAAATGCAGCTAAGAAACTTAATTGAAATCACAAATGTTCCAAGGATATGTATATTCAATGATCTTCTAAAGTACATTTAAAATTACTTGTTTAAAGATGTAAAAGTCATTTTTAAGAGAAAACTTCTATAATATATAAAGAAAAGTAGACAAATCATAGTGTATATCTCAGTGAATTGTCACGCAGTGGACATAACTATAAACCAGATCAAGAACTAGTACTTTATCAGAAACCTCCTTTACCGCAGTCCCCATCCCACAGGTGGCAACCATTCTGACTGCTGTCACCACACGTTAGTTTTGCCTGCATGTGAATTTTATATTAATTGAATCATACAGTGTGTATACTTTTGTGTCTGGCTTCTTTCATTCAACGTTGTATTTGTGAGATCATCCACCTCTGTTTTAATAGCCTTCACAGCCGGTTAAGAGAAAAAAAGACGGAAGAATCTTATTTCCTTAACTACCCTGTTAAAACTACATCACTCAGATAGCAGTAAATGAATGAATGTCTGTCTGACCTTGGGCAAGTCACTTAACCTCTCAATTTCTCATCTGTAAAGAAATGACAATACCCTCTCTGACTGCCTTAAAAGGTTGCCAAAGACAAATGCAATAAATTAGGGGAAAGCACTTTAAAATACATAATGAAGAACTATATGAGTATGTTATTATTATTATCACTCACTCTTTCTCTCTAGAGTAAATTACAGGTGAGCATGGATTTCTATAACAGATGCATTCCCGTACAGTTTTATATAAATCAGATTTTCATAAATCAACATATTTTAAATGTACTGGGGAATTTTGCTACTTTAAAGCAATCTATTCAAAGTCTTTGTGTAAAGCGGTATAGTCCCCTAATTCTTCTCCCCAGAAAACTGAATTTCTATATTCTTTATTTGCTTAACATGAAATATTTCTCTGACCAAAAACCTATCATTAAAAAAAAAATCACTATTTGTGTTTGTTACTTTAATAGCACCTATATATTTTAACCTATCTCACAGAGAGAAGAGGATACTGGAAACATAATTGCAATTTTCATGAGGAGAAAAATTCCCTTGGAACTTTTCTTTCAAATTGTGTGTGTGTGTGTGTGTGTGTGTGTGTGTGTGTGTGTGTGTGTGTGTGTTAACTCAAAGTCTGGTAGGGAGAAAAGCACATTGTACCAGTAGTTTTAGTTTTGGAACTATTTAGCAGTCTGTGATCCTTTCTACTGATCTGTCAAATGCAAGTAATAATTCCTAGTCTATTGAATTATGGTGAGAAGCAAGTGAAATAATAATATGGAATGTTTTATAGACTACAAAGAGTTCTACAAATGAGGAGTATTACTGTTAAAACAAATGTCCAGTGATAAAACTTGGCAGACAGAAAAGAATAGGATATGTAAGGGCTAAGAACAGCTGAATACCAGGTACAAATTAAGTTACAGCATGTACCAATACTGCCATTAAGAGTGCAATGTATTGCCCTTGCCCTATTTGTTGCCGTTATAGTTGTTCTCACCTTCTCCTAGATATCACATTGTCTTACATTATCAATTTTTCATAACATTCCCCTCCTCACCCACCAGTTCAAACAAAGAAAAGGTAATAAGTACTGCTGCTCTCATCTTTTCCACATTACACAAAAGCCACTACAGTTACTGTTTTATCGAGGAGGAGCGCTTGCTTTTGTGAGTGCCTCTTAAGAGGCACTGGAGAATTTTTATAAATTTAAAATGTCTCTGATGATGACATAAAGAAGTTAGAAACAATCTAAAATTAGCTCTTACAAAACTGTTTATGAGTGTGTCAGATAGGGAATTTGTTTTCATAATCCAAGATACATAGTTTATATTGCAAAAATAATCATCTGAAGATTAACAGCATCTAGGATAGATTAGAAAAGAAAACCTGCAGCTCAAGCAGTTCCACATTTGTTGAGTCCTGCTGTGCCTCTATTCTATAAACATGACCTTTGGGTTTTCTGAAAAGTTCAGGATGAGATTTTAAAAGACAGAATCTCAAGCGTAAATAAATTTGACTTCATCTAAATAGGGAGAGAACTGCTCTCTCTTATAAAATTAGACCCAAAAAATGAAATCAAGGATTGACCACAATTGGAAATGGTAGAGTTCTGAATCCTAGCGCAAGTGATCTTCATCTTTTGGTTTTCCAGAAATGTAAATAGCTGTTAAAATATAAAAAAAAATAACAAAGATGACCAAAGTCATCTTGGTGTGGTTAGTTATTAGACTAGATTTTGATGGTGAAATCTTGTTTGGTAAAACTGCATGCACTTGGGTTGTGGGCCCTGCCTGCCGAGACGCCTTAGCAACCATTCTAATGCCGTATTATCCTCACTTAATCTCATTGCCCATGAAGTGCGTATAAATGACACCTTACAGAGCTCTTCCCACCTCCGTGGTGCTTTTGTCCAGAGTCTGTAATGCTGCTTTCCAAGGGACCAAGAGAAAGTAGACAAGTGGTGCTGCCTTTTTCTAATGCTGTCCCGCCGCTGCCTCTTCCAGTTGACCAACCCAAGAAAACACAGTCTGTGTTGACTCCTGTG